TATGTCGATGTGGTAAAACTGGGTCGGTTTTATTTGTGAAATCAAGGGCAATGAATGCGTGCTAGAAATCGAATGGTTTTTTCGGATTCGGATTTTGCTTCGCTGCAGGTTTCCTTTACGGATGCTCTGAGTTTAGGGGTACTCCAAAAATTGAATCGTTATAGATGCATAAATAATATTTTAATAATATATACTAAACACATGTTAGTTTTTATTTAGCAAAAAATATTTTGGCCATTTATTTCAAATAGTTTATTTAGACTTTGTATACGTATATAGTGTGAACCTTGCTATCCTACATATAATCTTGAAAACGGTCGGTGTTACAGGTTTTTATTCTTATTGTTATATTCATTTTTGTTATGGTTTCTTGTGAAAATCGTTAGAAAACATGTGTACAGACAACGAAAGTCCAATATTTTATATTTTTCCAGAATCTATTGAGCTTACCCGAAAACACTATTCCCTAAGAGTTAGTAGATTATATAAAACGAAAATATATTAATTTTAAAATATATACCTATAGAGACTGCGTCTCCTGTATTTTTTAATAGAAAACAATGAAGAAATTTTGTTGCATACAGTTGTTAACGTCTTTTTATCGGTTTTTCTGGCTAAGAATTCATTATTCCAGTTTTGGAGGCAATTTCTATTGCTACAGATTTATTAGTATTTAATGTGATGCCGCTATGCGGCTGTACGCCAATAAAACATTATTTTTATAGTTGATTCTCATTTTGTCTTCATATCTTGTGGACCTTTTACTGTTAATTTCTGTCAGTTACGTAGGACGTTGTTGAAAATGATATTTTTCAAAAATCTCACGAAAAGCTTGGGACGGGGCAAAATATAGCTTTAAAATGTGTTCTTTATTGTTTGAAACATTGCAAGTATGGTATTGATTGATTTACAGCGGTTTCTGTATTTTGTTACGTAATTTTTTTTTTGGTATTTTGTAACCGTTTATTACAGCAATGTTCGAAAAACCTTCAAAATGGTTTTGTAGTGGTAATGGTAATATCTTGCTAGTCTCCTTTGCTTTTATATATTGGGACTATTTTTGATATTTTTATTGCTGAAGGATGAACTCCTCGGTTTCCTCTTCTTCAGTTAGAAATTCTTACAAAACTATAACTCCAGCCTATATGAAATTGCAATCCAGATACTTAACCCATCCATTTCCGCGGATAACCGTCAGATAGAGTAACCGAATCTGCTGGGGACCACTTAAAAGAAATATTAACGCGAGGCGGCACACGATCCAAAAAATCCAGAAATAAGGCTTCTCGCCATATTAGCTGTACCAGATGAGTCCATACGGTTCAAGACACGTGGTGATTCTGTAGCCCTCCTTTATCTAACACTTGCCTAACGAATCATCACTTGGACTTAATGTTTATTTTAACACAATGGCGTTTCAATATTGTTCATATATTAATAACGATTCGGTGCCAACAGCCTGTTTTGTGCTTTTCGCACAGCATCAATATTTACAGTTGTGCTACACAAACTACTTATAACATAACATATGGACATTAAATAAGGACGTTAAAAAAATTCTTCCATAGAGTAGAAACTTATCAAATTAATGTTTTTAAGTTCTCTTTGTAACTTTGTGCCACTGGAATCTATCCCGATGTATTCTAGGCAGAGATCTATGCTATAATGGTGTGTGCTCACGAGAACCGCAACAGAGGATATTCTGATAAGCACATCTATATTTGTAGTGACCGTCGAGCGGCTGACCTTTATGAAGTTAAGCTCGAGATTGTTACTTGACTGCCGAAAAACTCTGAAAACACCTGGTACCCGCTCATGTGGTTATTGAGGACAACGGAATAGCAGAGTGCGTGCTGAAGAGCGAACTGTATAACTTTATAGGAACTGATCCTCTACGCCTCACGATCTAAAGAAGGCTCTCAGTCTCAGCGCCCAACTACAAAAGTCGGTAGGAATCCTAACAGGACACTATCACCTAATTATCTATATCATGGGAGTGTGTCACAACATTACATGCTGGCTGTGTTTAGAAGAGGAGAAAACTCCAATTTATCTCCTAACCAGCTGCGCACTACAAGGGTGCCTCCCATTTAGAGTACTAGGAGCTCAATTTATTGAGCCCGAGGAATTATCCACACTCTCCAGAAAAAAGGTACTGCACAAACCATTTTGCCAGTGCGACAAAATGACGTTATTCTTCAAGTGCAAAAATAGTTGACCTAACATGGCGTACCAAAAAATTTTCGAAAAGCAGGATGCGCAGTCGGTCAGTAATATTCAGCCACTGTTGCATCACCCTTTTTAAATACTGGAATAACTTTAGAACATTTTAGTTTCGGATTGAAAAATTAAATTTATGATAATCGAAACACAAGAATTTAAGATGATTTTTAAAAAATATTGAATAAGTCTTGTTATTACCTGCTCATTGAATGAAAGAAGTTTAATTTAGATAGAATTAAGTTAATCGATTCTTGCCTTGATAATCCACGTCAGGAGATTATTGTAACACTTAAATGGCAAAATGTTCTGAAGGAGGTTATGATAAAAAATGTCAAACTTTTTGCAACATTTACCACAAATATAAGCAGCAACCTTAACACTAGACCACTAAGATAAGTAGCAACCTTCACAACATGTGCTGAATCCTATAGATATTAATATGAATAATTAATAATTAAGTGACTACGGAAACAACAACGCCAGTCAAATCTAAATCAAATGCGGCGCAACGAAAAATGGCCAAACATTTGCCCAATTCAAGTCCTGTGTTAAACGGCCGCTGCTGGCAATCCGAATTCATTCGACGAATCTGCTTAAAAGCTTGCCTCTAACATTTTTCAATGTAAAATTTTTTCAATGTTACGGTCGCTAATCATATAAATGAGACACGCCGTTATGTAAGTATTCATTTGTACCGGTGTAAGCAGATTCGAGCGAATTCGTTGAATACAATAATTCCCGGAACATGAATCTAGGTAAATTAACTACTAAAACTTAGGGCGCTTTAATCTAGACAGGCTTTGCGTTTTATTTCCGTGTTTCGCCAATACAAAGTGTTTCGGTTCTCAGTGTACTGCTTTCTATCCTGGTCAGTCTCTTACAAATCTTCTGGGTCCGTCTTGCTAAGGATCCTATTGGCCTAGTTAGAGCATAACTGAAACTGATTCGCAATCTAATGTGTACCTGCTTAGGTAATGCTTAAGAGATGCGTATCTAAAGGAGGAACATGCACGTTGCCTCGGATGACTGATTCCCTTATTCGTGAAAGGTAAAGACTTGAGTCACGGTTAATATTGGTTGTTTAGAGATTTCTACGGATTCTCGGATATTCTTTTGTCAAAAGAATTGATTGCATTCAAGAATTATATTATATAGATCTGTGTTTTGTTTGTTCATTTGTGTTTATTTCTTAATGTTATTTCTAAAACGAATGTACTATTATCCTTTTAATTTAAAAATTTTGTGTATTTTTCGATTCGCTTAAGTGTTTTTGATTTGCTTGCTATAAACAACATTTTGATCAAAATCTTCAATTTAAATAACCCGCCTTGTTTTCCTGTAGAAGACGACTTTATAGATTGATGCGACAATTGTTGTTCCCATTACCCTCGTCCAAATGGCAAATGATCTGCTTATTTTTAGTGCAGAATCTGACAGTTTCCCTTATTACCTTCTCCATTCTTTGTTATATTCATGCATGTGGCGCTGCTGCGCACTTTCGATCGGGTCATTCTAGCCACAATGGAGCAAAAACAATATCTCACCATGAAATCTATATTATCCTATCTTAATTGTAACGTACAAAGTCGGTGCTTTTAGTTAGTTAGTTCTCCTAAAGCATGCAATGATTGATGCCAATATACTTACACGAAAAATATTGCAAGCAGTTTTTTTTACATACACACGTAATACTTACATATTACCTGGACTACTACTGCGTCAGTTGTGGATGTACCGAACTTTGACGTTTTGATAATTATTCTGTTATCTTCTTCAGAACATAACTGGAATTGGTTTGCATTCTATTCTGTACCTGCTTATATACTTTTTGATGATTAGTTTGATTGAATAAGATTTCTTGTCCGACTTCAAGACTATGTTGTGCAACTGCTGATGAATATATATGTCGTGGTACAGAGCATAATGCAAACCAGATTCAATTAAGCTCTGAAGAAGCGAATAGAATGATTGGCGAAACGTCAGCAAGTTCAATCAATCAACAACCGACACAGGAGGAATAAAGAGTATGCCAAGTTTTAAAAAGCAATCTCCTAAAGTATATAATTTGCTTACCTGGTATTTTATTAAACGCTTTTTTTGGAGCTGGTTTATTTAAATCACATTTTTATTGCTAACTTGCGTCGTTGTTTGTTGACTTTTTATAGAAAATGCATTTTCTTTTCGACTTCAGGTTAATTCTATATTTTTTACACTTTTGTTTGTAAATGAAGCCTAAAAAGCGCAACTAATGAAAGATTTTTGGGGTCCATAAATGTTGATAAAATCTACAAAACAATTGCTTAGAATGCGCTAGCACATGTATAATGCTCTTTTCTTAGGAACTTTAAGCAATTACATTTACAATTGTAAATAAACTTCTTGCTTAAAAGACTTTGCTAAGTCCAGTCGCAAATAACCAAATTTTTTTTAATTTGACAATAAATAAACAGGTTTTATTTCTAATTTTTACAAAACTTTTGGATTCCTCCTGTCAGTTTTTGCTGACGTTTCGCCAATCATCTTGTTGGCTTCTTCAGAGTTTGACGGTTAAAGGTTTTATTTCTGTTACTTTTTAAAAAATTGGCTTAAATGAATATGAAATAGGTAGAACAGTAGGGCTACGAGATGGATAGCTGAGAGGTTACTGATATACGTCTGTCATTATTAGTTTTTTTTTACATTACATTGCGGTAAATCACAATACCATGAGATTAAATGTTAACAGCTTCACTGTTCTGGAAGGAAATCAGTGACGAACAAAGAAATGAAACTCGACACTTTGCTAACCGTTTAATAATACTACTAGCAAAATAGTAAAACTATCATTCTGCATAATAAAACCTTACAGCTAACGCGTTAGTTACACAAAGTAACCTCGTCTCGCTTATCCTGCAACGGATAAATTATTGCTACGTATTTATACAATTTACGGGGGATTTAATTGCGCGTATTACGGAAACAATAAAACGTTAATCTTCAGTCTTTCCAATTTACAGTCTACCATATTCGTTACTGAAATTTTCCTACTAGATTGTACAACTATATTTGATAAGGCAATCGACAGATGGCGCGAAGATCGCGAGCATAACCGATCTGGACTTGCGCAAATGTCGAATATATAGACATGGCGTTATTTATATAAGGCGTTTTGGTTTTTTTACTAAATACTACCTAAATGCCTTCCGTCATTTTAGATTACTTTAGTTACGTGTTTCCAGTGTAATCCTAAGGTATTACAACAATAAATCGTTTTTACATAAGTGTGCGTCGTGCCGTTCTAGATCGTGATATGAGACCTAAAACTGTCGGATGATCGTTGTTCGTCGTCGTCGGCTCAAATGATTTTATGCTCGAACTTTTCTATTCTCTTGAGGTTCTCGATTACGGCCGTGTGTTCGTCCAGCAACTTCCAGAACTCGTGTTTTCTCTGCTCCGCTTCCTCCTGCAACATCAAACACACAAAGTGAAATAAAACTTCCACTTCGATCAGCTAAGATTTGCAGTTTAATTCGAATTACCTTTGTCAATAATCCCTACGATCACTGAAATAGCTTAGATTTATTTGTTAATGGAGTCAGGTCTAAATACTAATTAATGTTTCTTGTATACCACACGGCACGTTGAGAGAGAATTTTAAAATATCTGCTTATCATGGATAAAATCTGCTGGAATAAAAGTATTTAATAATAATAAAAATAATCTTAATATTAATAAAACTTTTATTGCTTTAACCATTAAGAACAAAAACAAAAATCAGAGATCTGACACGCCAAGATACGGTTAGTTAATTTATTTTGTTGTACAGATAGGGTGGTGTTGCCCATCGAATGATTTTGCAATAAATTAGCAGTGCGATTGAGCATATTCAACCAGGTCTAGTTTTGAACTTATTGAATACCATACTATCTAGACAAGGCATGAATACCTACACAGTTACAGCAATTAAACTATGATAGTACTAAAGTAACGCATAGAAACTTTTTAGTATCCTATGAGAGTGGCGACGTCAATAAATTAATTTTAGATTTCTCTATGCAACCTTTAACTTGTTTATAACCATGCTCTCTAAATTTGAGCTGTTTAATAGCTTTGCATTTTCAGGAGAAAAGGCTAAGGGTAAGCTAGATTGCATTTGGGATACCTTAGTAAGCCTTTTAAGACGACATATTATAAAAATGAAAACAACAGAACGTCATGGACATTTTGGATAAGCATCCAACTTAATTATTATTAATTATTAATATGTCAAAAGAATTAACAGGTCTTGTATTTTGTGTTGTTATTAACATCGCAAGTTCAAAAACCGTGTCTTACATATTGCAAGACGTGGGTAAAATGTGAAAGGTGGAAAATCCTAAAAAGAAGAAATGAAACCAACATGTGTAGAAGAAGAGTTCACGTGTGAAGTGATAGCTGAGATGATTTTTTTTTGTAAGCGAAGTGAAAGTTGTAGATACTGTAGAGAGTAGTCTAGCAATTGAAAAAATTGTGTGAAAGTATATAGGGTGTAAAAATTTATTTAGAAAACATAATCGTTTGGGGTGAGTAAATAAAGTGCTAGAACTTCTTTATAAAATTTATCACATTTTGGATGTCGAATATCGTATTATATAGGCATGTGTAACATCATTACGACGTATACTTATTGCCGTACAGCTCCCAATTAATTTAACTTAATAAATATGTGCCGATGTATAAGAAACCTAGATGTATTTTTTTGCTAGTTTTATAACAAAGTTTTGAAACAAAGCCAATATTTTTTACATAATATTTATCCGTTTTAAGCCAATTTCTAATAACCTTAAGCCAATTTAAATTAAGGTTAATAAAAACAAGGTCATTCCCTCAAAGCTTTATAAATATAAGGATTTGAGATCAAAGTCATTAGGTAGACAAAGATTAAATTATAAACCCTTGAGGAAAAATAAATTTAAGCCTTCGTCCCAAAGTATTGGGTAAAAATGTATATGCATTTCGCGGATTTAGTTTATTATATTATTATTAATTTATGTATCTAATATTCAATTAATTTATTTATTTAACTTAAGCACTGATAGCACGGAGAAAACTTCACTTTTTGAAAATATTTATTTTAAGATATTTTTTTCATTGCAGCGGAATACAAAAAAAAAATCCGCATAATTTAAAAATTATCAAATATCAAAGTCAAATTCCTGAAATCTGTGAAACCTTTCGATTATGTAAAACTGGTGCACAAAATTTGGGATCCCTCGGATCACTCAAACCTTCAAGAGGTGCATTTGCATCCTTCACCATGCTAGAACTTTATATTGCTTTGAGTCGAAACGCGTCGACAATAAATCTTTCGTTCGACTGATAAAGTTCTTGATCCCGGATTTATTAATTTCTGTTGTGATGGACTTTCGCTTAATAAAAAGCGACACGCTTTGCAAAGCTTGGTATAGAGACAAGGAAACAAGATTTCAAGTAGTATCCAGCCAACCTAATCTTAAAGAAAATTGCAGCTAATTGTAGAGATTCTAAAAAATGGCTTCAATATTTTCTTATTGAACAATGAATGTATTTTTTAGTAATCTTTCACAGAGGAATATTGAAGTAAAAATTAAATATGATACCAGCCCAAGCCCAATGGATAAAAGGATAAAGTTCAATGCTCGTCGACAAAGGCTGATTAAAGTGTGTGTCCTCTCATAAGAGGACTAAAAGACAGTCATTTTAATGTCCGACTCTAAGCTACAACTGCTATTGTGTTACTATTTGCTGTTTCTAACAATAAAAAACTAAGAAATGTAGTTCCTTGGAAGATGTGGTATTTACATTCCAAGCTCAACGCAGTGTTGCCAGGTTAGTTGATTACAAATTCGGCTTAAGGTTCATGATTGATTTACTCTTGTTTAATGTTCTCAATCAAGAAATATCCCAGTAAAATATTGAGAATTGAAGCATCCTCATTGATTCTGTACAAGAATGTAAGAACAGAAGAAACTTAACAATTGCACTGGGAAAAGCTGGAAAAATCGCCATAGTACTGAATGCAAATAGAAAACAACTCAAGACTGTTGATCGGAAGTTGGAGCAACATTTTACCAAATTAGATCTTGGCGAACGATCCTGTGAGGAGAACAAATATAATGGAATTCGAAATAAATACGAAATAAAGACACAAATCCTACTCACAAGATGCTCAGATTAAGAGAGGCAAGGAGGGAAGAAAATATAACTCCATAAAGGAATTAGAATTCTTTGAACTGAGGTGGCTTTTACTTGATGAAAATCCATTTATCAAAATAAATAGCAACTAAAAGTTCAGATTTTCACGAAATTATATATTTTGACATGACAATTGTTTCCACAACACTGTGTCTTTATCAAATGTAATATTTACAAACTACCTGCTACTATATATACCGAAAAATGACCATAAAACCTTAATTAATGTTGTTGTGAGAATTTAAGTTCAATAAAGGAGAGATATGTAAATCTAATTTCATCGTTAAGCAATACATTTGAATGTCTCATTTTGTTAATCTCCATGGCTTCCAATAAATTTAATTTTCCACTTCTTGTGGCTGTATGTAAAATATCAAAATTGTCGTCAAAAATGTGTTTTTCTGTGTTTAAGTGTGTAGAATAATTAGAATCCAGACTATTGCTTCTAAACGCTCTTTTATGTTGGTTAATGCGTTTCTTGAAGGATATACCTGTTTGTCCAATATAAAATTTAGGACAAGATCCGCATTTCAACCTGTAGACACCTGATTTTTGTGATTTTGGACATTTCGTTTTATTGTTTTTCAAATATTTTCCTATTGTGTTGTTAGTTCTGAAAGCTATTTTTAAACCACATTTTGACAAATATTTTGAAACTTTTTCACTAGGTTCTCCTATGTATGTAATTTTAAATTGTTCGTGTTCTGTATTAGGTTTCGGATAAATAGAGTTCACTGTTGCCTGGATTTGTTTTTTATTTATTATTTTATCTATAATGGACGGATTGTAACTGTTGTTCAGTGCAATTTGTTTAATGATATTAAGTTCTTTGTTGTAATTTTCTGTTGAGAGTGGCGTATTAAGAAGTATGTGTGTGTATAAAAGAGTGAAATGCAGCCATTTTGTGTGTGAAGGTTTATAATAAATGAAAAAATCTAATTTGTTTTGCGTTTTCGTAATAGTTAAGTCTAAAAAATCAATAGAGTTATCCTGTTCAATCTCGATAGTGATTTTTTTTCGATTATGTAATGAGTTAATGTAATTTAAAAAATAATTCAATTGTCTGTCCGTTCCAACAAAGCAAGCAAAGACATCATCCACGTATCTATACCACCATAAAAAACTTTTACTTAAAGGATGTTCTAGTATGATATTTTCCAAATAATTCATAAAAATCTCGGCTAACAAAGGACTAAGTGGGTTTCCCATAACCCAACCTTCTTTAGAGATATAAATCTCTCCAATAAATTGAAAATAATTTTGGTCTAAAGATGCTATTAAGCAATCTAATAAATCTTGTTTCACCAATGGGTTAACCTGTTTCCGAGTTAGGGTGAAATCTACTAAATCTATCACATCCATAGGTGGAATACTGGGAAATAAGTTTTGTACATCAAAAGACAATAGTGTTGCTTTAGAAGGGATTTTGATATCTTTAATTTTGTTGATTAATTCAAAAGAATTTTTTATTGCAAATTTTGGTTTAAAATCTGACTGGAACTTTAAAATATTTACTAATTTTGTAGAAAGTTTAACTTCTGGAGCTGTTACATAAGACACGACTAGTCTAATAGGCATATGTTGTTTATGTAATTTAACTAAAGAATATAATTTCGGCGGTTGTGGATTCATAATTGTTAAAAAATATTTGTCTTTGTCACTAAATAGTGTGGAGTTAGTAATTACTTCCTTGACTTGTCTTTGATATAACTCGGTAGGATCGTGTTTGATACATTGGAAAAGTTCTGGTTTAAGAAAATTGTTGGTTTTTGAAATATATTCTTTGAGATTAAAGTTCCACACAGATTTTAAACCAATATTTGCAATAAAAAATTCTTTTGAATTAATCAACAAAATTAAAACGCAACACTTGTCTTTGACAGATTTATATCTCTAAAGAAGGTTTGATTATGAGAAACCCACTGAGTCCTTTGTTAGCCGAGAATTTTATAAATAATTTGGAAAATATCGTACTAGAACATCCTTTAAGCAAAAGTTTTTTTATGGTGGTATAGATACGTGGATGATGTCTTTGCTTGCTTTGATGGAACGGACAGACAATTGAATTCTTTTTTAAATTACATTAACTCAATACATAATCGTATAAAATTCATTATCGAGATTGAACAAGATAACTCTATTAATTTTTTAAACTTAATTATTACGAAAGCGCAAAACAAATTAGATTTTTCAATATATCATAAACCTTCACACACGGACGCAGTCATACATAACAGCTCAAATCACCCTTATACACACAAAATGGCTGCATTTAACTCTTTTATACACACACTTCTTAATACGCCACACTCAACAGAAAATTACAACAAAGAACTTAATATCATTAAACAAATTGCACTGAACAACGGCTACAATCCGTCCATTATAGATAAAATTATAAATAAAAAACAAATACAGACAACAGTAAACTCTATTTATCCGAAACCTAATACAGAACACGAACAATTTAAAACAATTACATACATAGGAGAACCTAGTGAAAAAGTTTCAAAACATTTGTCAAAATGTGGTTTAAAAATAGCTTTCAGAACTAACAACACAATAGGAAAATATTTGAAAAACAATAAAACGAAATGTCCAAAATCCCAAAAATCAGGTGTCTATCGGTTGAAATGTGGATATTGTCCTAAAATTCATAGTAGATCCTTCAAGAAACGCATTAACGAACATAAAAGAGCGTTTAAAAACAATAGTCTGGATTCTAATTATTCTACACACTTAAACACAGAAAAACACATTTTTGACGACAATTTTGATATTTTACATACAGCCACAAAAAGTGGAAAATTAAATTTATTGGAAGCCATGGAGATTAACAAAATGAGACATTCAAATGTATTGCTTAACGATGAAATTAGATTTACATATCTCTCCTTTATTGAACTTAAATTCTCACAACAACATTAATTAAGGTTTTATGGTCATTTTTCGGGATATATAGTAGCAGGTAGCTTGTAAATGTTAAATTTGGTAAAGACACGGTGTTGTCGAAACAATTGTCATGTCAAAATATTTAATTTCGTGAAAATCTGAACTTTTAGTTCTTATTTATTTTGATTAAAATGGTTAGTAAATATTTTTCCATTTTATTCAATCACCGTTAAATCGTTCGACGCATAAACTCCAAGAAAGTCCACAGTTTGATGAAATTATCTATAAGACGCGTATATGGAAAACGAACATTTTATCGAGATAAAAGAATTAAGAAATATATTTAGATATTCGTAAAACATGCAAACAATTTGAATGTATTTCTTTTGTTATCGCGAAGCAGGCGGCCCACATATGGATGCACATTCACCACCATTCATAGAGTTGGAAAAGCTTGTAGCATTGGGCTATACTATGGCTGGAATATGTGATCTTTTTCACCGTTTAATGAAAAAATTAACCGACAATGATTGTTAACGAAAACCGTGCTACTCACCAATATTTTCTTTATGGACGCGTCTGAAAACGATCTGGTATAAATTCTAGGTGGCGCTGCGTTTCCACTTCCCTGCCCTATCTTTTGTTCCTTATTATTCGCTTCCTTTAAGGAGTCGAAGTCGTCGATTACAATACTGCAACAAATAAGCCGATGTCAGTATATACCAAGGCATCGAAACGTTGTTAAAATAGAACAAATCGCTCTTCCTCGAAAGGATCTGGTTTGGATAATCTATAAAGATTCAAATACACCCTCGAGGCAAAATCTCAAAAATATCTTAAGACCTTGCCTCCGCAATGTGATTGATTTTTTAAAGTTTTATCCAAAGGTTTATGCGAAATACCATTTCTTCAATAATTATGACCTCAATAATTGTTTTTGGGCCCATATATAAAAATAAAAGTAATGAGTCAGGTCAAAGTTGACATTTTGTCTATTTTTTTCTGATATACTTTTGTATTAAAATCTTTAAAGCTGCAGTGGGTCCTCTCCGTAGAAGTAAGTAAATTCTAAAAATCTATATAGAATAACAATATGTACAGTGGCGTGAAAGCAGGCAATTTAAATTTATTGTAGTTTTTAATTGTCAAACAAAAGTTACGATAAACAAAATCCCCATTTTCCCTTTGGCAATTTTTTTGTAGTTATTTTTTCTTTTTTTTAACTATATTTAATATTTTCAGAAAACAAAACCTGAGAAATTTTGGATAATAAATAAAAACATGTATGAAAATATTAAACTAGTGGATTTTGTATTAACGATGATATAACAACATTTTTATGATTTGGATACAAATTCATCATTAATGATACCTTTTGTGGCACTTCTAAAATATCATTTAGTTAAATTGGACGAGAAATAAAATTAAAGAAAAAAAGAGTTCCGAACATTCTGTTTCTCAGCAAAAAATGAATAATGATGGATAAACTGTGTTATTTACTGAAAGAGGGCGTTTTTTCGCGGTCTTTCGTGCTTTTAAACCTGCTACAACCAAACGTTTGGATTGTCTTTTGTGACACTTATAATCCCCTCTATTTGACTTAAAGAAGCCAAAATTTGGATTGTTTGGGTTCATTTTTAACAATTCTCTTTATGCGCACATCCAGTTGTTTGGAAGTTTTTAAGTTTTAAGTTTAAGTATTTGACACGAGCGGACCTAGTGCTTAATAAATGAGTGATTTTTTCTACGCCCATTATTTTTCGGGAACAGTCAGAATTGGAAAATGTCAAAATTCAAGCCCGGAAATATCCGAAGCGACTCGCGATCGTAGGAAATGACCACTGGCGTGGTAAAATCACACTTTCTGAACGCTAGCTCGGTGTATAATTGGGTATTTCAGAGAGGCGATTAGAAAAAATATTTAGAAGCAATAAAACTTCATAAATATAAATGCATAAAAAGGAGTAAATAACAAACAGGTAGAGAATGTCCAAGAGAAGTCTAAGATTTACATGGACGATTTATTTATTTTAAATGGCAAATTTAAAGTAATATTTGTTTTAAAATTTTTATATTATCTAGGTTAAACTTTGTATTTTATGTATATTGTGTATAAATTTTAGCAAATATATATTAGCATTAGTCACTTTCTGCAACTTTAAGGGTTTTAGGGAGGACTTTCATTTATTTATTTTTGTAGATGTACTTTGAATCTGAAGTATTATTTTGCTTTTACAATTAATATAATTATCGTCGTCTCCTGAATCAACATGTATTATAGGCTTGATTAAGGTCAATTGAGTACAATACAGCACAATTATTTCTAATGTGCTGAATAAATATTAACCTGTAAAATTTGTAAACACAAAGCTCTTCAAAAAATGCTGTCTTGGAACAGTTAGAAAGTTTGTTGCTTTATATGCGTGGTAAAATATGCCGCACAAAATTTTCGGAAAATACTACTGTTTATTACTAAACAACTTATTTGAAATTAAAGCAGAAAATTAAAAAAAAAACTGTTTCACTTATCTAAATTAGACGACACTAGCCGAGAATCTCCATATTACAATTCGGCGATATAATTGCTGATATCCTAAATACAACGTTGCAGATCACTCAAAAGGCGGGCTCGCCCCAAACAACCTTGACACCGCGAGCAAAATTTTTTTTTTATCAACGTTCGAGATAGATTGCCAAACAAAAACCGTCGAAGCTCGTCATAAATCATTCGCGAAATAGCCGAAACACGAGATACATATCATTTCAACTGGTCTTACTTGATTCCAACGTCGGTGGAGATCATCATGACGACGGTAGTATTCACAGTATTTCTACAGGCAGGTGAACTCGGACTGTCTCGAAAGAGCTTTCTAATCGAGTTATATATCAAATCGTAGGTGTGCGATAATATATCTATAAACCGACAATTTTCGTAGTGACGTCTTTGCGAAGACTTTGCAATCGACTTAATCTGGAGCGAAAAAAAATAAAGACCAATTAAGTTTTATAATCAAAGCGCTTTGACGTCAAAGGGTTTATGTTTATTGTTTCATTTACGCGAAAGTGCGCGACTCGAAAGATAAAATCACTCGAAGAACCACCCGGTACTAGCGTGGAAACTGGGTACATCCCCTTTTGGGGGTCCGTTTCGAACTGACCGAGTCCGAGATTGTCGCAGCGCAGTGACAGAAAACATGTGGCGTGAAAGAAATGGTTTACGCAACATGCAAGTCATTTAAATGACGACAATCCGCGAAAGAAAGGTACTGCACCGAACGGTCGCCTGTGATTTGCATGTTTAATGAGATTAATGTATACACAAATTCTAACCTTCGGATCAAATGGCACTTATGGTTGTTTCTAGCCGAAAGCGAATGAGAAAGGTCGAACGGTACAGAAAAAAATATCGAAAGAGCCTCCAATTTTTGTACCACAATGTCCTTGTATATTAAAATAGTTCGCGCTAAAGAGCAACCAACAATCTACAAACGCTATTAGTTTTGTTCCTCCTAAATGAATACTTAGAATAAAGTGTGTTTCAAAATATATCGTCTTGGCCTTTGATCGACCCTTTGTCAACAAGTAATTCCGACCTTCATAATAATAATAATAACGCACACCCCACAAACATTATCGCATAACTTGCAATTTTAAAAAATTTTGTTTTTGCATCGCTGTATGATTTCATGTAATAATTTATGTTCTTGCAACAGTTTGAAATATAAATAGCAAAAAATTATGCAAAAAAAGCACACATGCTTGAACACGTTGAAAGAAAACTTTAATTCTTCAAAAATGCAATTAAAATATATAACAAGAATATAGAAATTAGCCCTTATTAATGCCTCCGTACGCCTCGGGAGTCTCTTAAAAATACCTTGAATACCTTTCTTTCCATATTCGTAAAATCATATTTTGAAGTTGGTTGGTCTTCAATGTTGTTAAATCTGCCAGCCCATATGGTCCCAGACATGCTCAAGCAGATTTGAGTCACTGCTTCCTACAGGCCAGTTCATAGCAGTGATGTTAACTCCCCGCTAGCATTCAATAACTATTGCCTTAGAGCAGTAAAAAACGATCATCAGCACGAAATATAATGCGATGGCGACCTTGTCCTTCCCTTCTAGTGTACTGTCCTGTTTCTCTGTACCGATTTACCTTTCGAGACATGGTACTTTGCTGGATATTCAGCAAGTTTACCATGTACCTTTGGCTTCGGCCCTCCTCAATAACAACAACAGCTCTAATGGCCTTTTCAGCAGTTAAATGACATGTAAGACGATTTGGAACTTCCATCACTTTACACTTTTTAAATTTACTTAAGTTGAAATATGGAAAGCATTCCGGTATTTGATATTTTTTAAAATAAAATATTTTAACATAAGCAAATCGCTTGTTTTTATTCCTTCCCGACTTTTTAATGCTTACAGATATTTTATACACACCTAGCAAAAAATTAAAACCTTTCATAGGTACGAAATTTTGAGTAATTCGATAATTTTTGTGTGTACGCAACAAGTGTGGTAAACGAGTTTAAGTGACACGAGCGGAGCGAGTGCTCAATAAACCAGTGGGTTCATAAAGTTTACCAAGCGTGTTGCATACTACAATCTTTCTACGACCGTTAGTTTTTGAATACACTTTTGCAAAACAACACGAATATATTGACTTACATGACCGCCGGAATTGACAAACGACAAAATCTCCGAAAACATCCTCTCCCAACCCCGTGCGGTAATATCCCGGAAATATGCGAAGTGGCTCGGCTCGGCTAGATCGGTGAACATTACCGCACGGCTTAATGTTGTTCTGAAGAAATGTACGCAAAAATGAACGGTCGTAGAAAAAGTACAGTATGCAACACGTTTGGTAAATTTGTTACTCATTCCTTTATTAATTACTCGCTCCGCTGTACCTCGCTCGTGCCAAATAAACTCGTAACTCAAATGCCGTTTACCACATTTGTGGTTAATAACATTAACATTAACAAAATTATATCCCAAATTAACTTTTGTAGCAAAGGACTAAGAAAATCAGACAGCTGGCACAGCTAGATATTGATATGACAATAATAAAAATAAGAGGTTTGATAAGCTGAATCAAAAGCCTTTAATGAAAGTCGGCCTTCTGGGAATTTGCCAGATACAGTTAAAACCTGAACATTTGTATTATACAAACATATCATATCATGTGTGATGTGGGAAATGACATGATTTATATCAAAGGCTTTGTTAAAATCAAGTAAAAGCAGGGCAGTAATATTGTTATCATAAATCTCAAAAACATCATCTATTGAGCAATATTGAGCAATGTTCTTATATGCTTGCCGATTATTTTCTCCAAAAGCTTAGAGCGTGTAGGTAGAATATTCATAGAATACAAGTGATCAAACTCTGTGGGTGTTTTTTTAGTCAGGGGTAACAGATTAGTCCAACTCCAATAATTTGAATAAAAAAGACTGTTAAAATATGTAAAAAGTTAGATAATGATACGCTTTCAAAGCATTTTCTTCAACAAATTTTCAATTCAATAATACCCCCATCCCTACACCACATCATCTTCCTCCTCACTAATATTCTCGTCGTTGTCACATTTTTATGGGTGGTTCCTCGAGGAAAGCTAAAGTTCTGTTGGATACTGCCAGGAATATTTACTAGAATTCACATTTGAAATTAGATGATCGGATGACACA